CTCCTTCATGCCCATCTGCTCAGAGACTTCTTCCTCGTGCTGCCAGCAGTCTAGCTGCAAGTCCTCCTGCTGCACCTCCTCCCCCTGCCAGCAGGCCTGCTGTGTGCCCGTGTGCTGTAAAGCCGTCTGCTGCAAGCCTGTCTCCTTCATGCCCATCTGCTCAGAGACTTCTTCCTCGTGCTGCCAGCAGTCTAGCTGCAAGTCCTCCTGCTGCACCTCCTTCCCCTGCCAGCAGGCCTGCTCCGTGCCCATCTGCTGCAAGCCCGTGTGCCATGTGCCCATCTGCTCTGGGGTCGCCCCCTGCCCAGCCCCCTCGTGCTGCCAGCCCAGCCCCCGCCCTTCCTCCTGCTGCAGACCCGCCTCCTGCGTGTCTCTCTGCAGCCCCATGTGCAGGACCACCTGCTGCTTGCCCGTCCCCTCACGCTATGCCCTCGCCTCATCCTGCCGGCCCAGCTGCTGCCGCCCAGCCTCCTTTGTGTCCCTGCTCTGCCGCCCCATGTGCTCCTACCCGGCCTGCTGTGGCCTCTACTCAGACCAAAAGTCCTGCTGCTGACTGAGCATCCCCCAGGGCCATCTGAGCTGAGGTCCCACCCGCACCTCTGCCACTGGTGGCCTCACCACAGTCTTCAGGATTTTACCCATGCACAAGCCCTGCCTGTCTCAGTGTGAGAGTTCGCTGACCTCATACCCACAACCCCAGCTCACCAGTGCTGCCTCCAGGTCAGGCCCAGATGAACACGAGATGGCCCCTGCATCATGGAGAGAGATACCCAGGTTGCTGCTCACAGCCCCCGTTCCTTCCCCTAAGCCTGACATGACCCTGGCCATGGCTTTGCCCATCCTCTAAGCTGTTTGTCCCCCTACATGTCTTGTGCTACAGTTAGTAAACTCACCTCCTTGCCTCTGAGTACTGCTCTCTCCCAGCCCAGTGTTATATTTCATTCTTTTCCTGGCCCGCTGTGCTAATACGAGTACATCCCTGGCTTCAGCAACCTTGGAGCAAGCCATGTCCTGGAGCATTTCCAAGGGTGCTGAGTTCCAAGGTCCACCCTGTTGCCCCAGCCCAGGGCTCCTGCATCTGCACCTCCAGGCAGCTCTCAGTGGCTATGCTTTGGGTCGAGGATTCGAGTGGTGATTTCTCTGGTGGCACATCGAGAGGGCCTTGGCTCCCCAGACCTCACTCTTCCTTGTCAGTTTGAGGACACCCAGTCGGTGGGGCGAGGGCCATGCCTCTGCTGCCATCCAGCCTCCTGGGTGGGTCCCTCCAGCTCCCCTTCAGCCCTGTCTGTGCCTGTGAAGGCCACCCTGTGGGGCTTCCCATGGGCCAGTCTGGCCAGGTCCCCACGTTTCCTGGATCCCTATCTCCCATGCCCAGCCCTCATTCCCGGCAGAGCTGCTGCCAGACCTGCTGTCCCCTGCTCCCATACCCACTCCTAGCTCTTGACTCCACCTTGCCATGGTGGGTTGCAGCAGGTGGGAGTGAGCTGGGTTCACCGGGTTGCAAACCCGGAAGGCCTGAAATCCTGCACAGACGTTCCCAAGACCCTTGGAGCAAGTCTAAGACACCACCCGGCCCTCAAATGGTCACCCCTGGAGAACCTTGTCTGGACGCCCTGACTGGGCCAGCCTTTCCAGTGCCCCTTCCCCCTACAAGGGCAATCCCCAGAGAACCTGTCAGTGGAGACAAGGGCCCTGCTTTCTCCTCCTGCATTCTGGGGCTGAGGAGGCAGGTGGGGGTCCTGGCCCTGCTTCCCTGGGGTACCTGCGCCCTCCCACAGCACTTCCTACTACGGAAGACGGGGTGAGAGAAGTCAGTTCTCCTGCTGTGAGGGGCCAGAAAGTTCCTGGGACACCACCCACTCAGGCCTGTCATTGTGTTGCTGGCCCCTGTGGCTGGTTGGGGAAACCCAATAGCCCCTTCTCAGAAACCTGTTTTCAAATGCATAAAACAGGGTGCATCAGATTTCCGAGGGACACAATCATGTGGAAATAGTTACTGAAGTAGATTTAAAAGCAAACGATGTAGTGAGATGCGGACTTTCTCACTGAGGCATTAACGAGCAAGAGGGGCGGGGTCTCCCCCATAGGCGGACAACACGTGGGCACGAATCTGTGAGGGGAGAAGCCAGCGCCCCGCTGGTGACAGCTGCAGGTATCATGACCACAGAGATGCACTGGTTCCATCCAAGTTCACGGCCCGTGGACAGAGCCCGCTGCACTGGGGACAGACATGACCCACTCCAACACCCTCTGTCCCTTTGTCCCTCCGTCCATCCGCCCACTGGGCGGCCTCTCCTGCAGGTAGCGGGCTGTGAGCTGTGGTGGAGACCCCAGATGCACATGTGGACAGCAGGAAGAGCATGGCAGATGTCACAGCCAGCTGGCACAGCCGGGTGGCATGCTGGGGCTTCTCCATGTGCGCACATGCACACACATCCACACGACATGTACACACGCACAGACTGCTGTCCTCCCGTGTGCAGAATGACCCTCCTCGGGGTCCCCGCGATCGGCAGAGCCCACAGACATTGGCCCGTTTCACAGGCGACAGCGAGGCCCACGCGGTGAAGGGTGGGCAGCTCCCACCCCAGAGGTCACCAGTGGCAACGCCGGCCAGTGGGGGGCGGGGAGATCCCCCGCGTTTTTAGTATTTCTTCTCCTTTTTCTCTTCCACCTCCAGGTGGCGCATTCAACCCCCTGACATTGCCAGGTGCCCATTAGGTAGGACTCGCCCAAGCCCCCTACAAAGTTCCCTCCCCAAGACAAAGCTGCCCCAAGCCCCTACCTGGGGGAAGGATGAAAAGTGAGACGTTAACAGATGGGTCCCCCTAGCCCCTCTGAGGACAAAGACAGACTGGAAGGCACCAGCTTTCACGTGGGACCCTCTCCCCCCACTTGGCTTTTTGAGCAGAGGGGACACAAGGGGCATCAGCGTAGATGTGTCTGCAGGGCGGGCAGGGTCTCTGGGAGACTGGTGAGCCTCCCAGTCCCCAACCCCAGGGATCAGGACAAAGATGCTCCTTCAGTGGAGATGCAGAAGTGGCACAGGAGGGGTGACCGTGAGGACCATGTACCCCACTCCCCCACCACCGTCACTCCCCAAGACTTGGCAGGAAGGGGAGAGAAGTGGGCACCTTCCAGCCCCTCACCCACTGCAACGCAGGGGCCAAAGTCCCAGACCCAGAGCTCTGTACTGGGCTGGGGAAGGGGGAAGGGGTGAGGGTAGCGTCCAACAGGAAGCCTAGCCCAGCCCCAGCAATGGCGGCCTGTGCATGGCTGGCCAGGTGTTGTCCTGGAGAAAGGTTTCCTGGAAATCTACCGTTGACTCTAAAAGATCAAAACCGTAGTTCTAGCAGATAGTGTATGAGGCTCCATCCTAAAAATAGATATTCCCAGTTTCCTAATTTTTGTGTGGATGAAAAAATGCCCTGGCCTTATAGTTAAAAAATTTTAAAAACGAAATGGGTGTGTAGCAAGTGCCAGCTTGCAGGGTCATTGGTGGCAGAGAGCCTCCCAGCTGGTGCAGGCGGGGTCTCTCCTGTGCTTGGGAATGAAGAGAGTGAGTGAGCTCGAGAGACAAAGGTGAGGGGCCAGGGGGTCTCCTCCAGACACAGGTCACGGAGGCACTGGTCCACTGCAGTGAGGGGGTCATTCATTTAAGAGCATGAGTGGGTTAAATAAATAAAAATGATAGATATTTAAAAGCCCCAAGTGCTGGAAGTGCTGGGGTAGATTCAACAGTCTGTCCCCATCATCAAGGACTCCCCAGCCCTCCAAAATCAGCAAGCAGGTGAGGCTGGGCCTTTCAGCCTCGGTCCCCCCACCCCATCCCTCCAGGACTGCCCAGCTCTCCTTCCTGGCGCACACAGAGAGCAGGCCCACGTGTGCGGTTGGAGGGGTGGCCTAGGGTGTGGTGCTCCAAAAAGGCTGGTCTCAGATCCTGCCTTGCCAGTCCCCCAGCACAAAGGGGAATGTAGGACCCTGCTCAGGGCTGGGGAGCTGGGGACAGATGACAGCTGACTGCTGAGGAGTTAAACAGGCTTCTAAACTACACATGTTCAAAGGGCTTTAATCACGTGCAGTGAGCATTGCCAAGAGAGGGCATCTTAGGCACAGTGTTTTCCAGGAACCTGCCTTGGCCAGGGACTAGGAGTCACCAGGACTCATATTCCCTCCCTCCTGCACCAGCCTTCCTGCAAAGAAGCCCAAAGGACAAAGGTGGATGGAAGAATTCCTGGAATCAGCCAGCAGACATGTGGGGGGAGGGGGGTGGAAGTCCCCACCCCCTAATTGCAAGAGCTGCCTCCTGGGTTGCCCCCACGTGCCCAGCAATCTTTTAAATGCAAATCCTTTCTGACTTTTCTTCAGTACTTCCTCTAGCTCCTCAGGTGCAGGGCATCCCACCCGCCCCCACTCCTGCACACAACCTACCCCGGGGTCCCTCCACCTGCAGAAAGCCTTTGCCCCCGCAGTCCCCCCACCCTGAATATTGGCTCCTGGACCCCTCCTGGCGGACGGGGGGGGCACACTACAGCCTGTGGGGAATCTCATCACGCTCCCCAGGGACTTTCCATCAGTCTCTCCCCTGACCACAGTGGGTTGTCAGTGCACCTGCAGCCCCCACACACTTCCTGATTGAGAGCCCATGCCTAGAATGTGGCCTGAAACCATGAACTTCTTACAGGAATTGGAAGATCTTAGCAAGTGCACTTCAGCCTTTCAGTCCCCAGGCAGCTGGGCCAGCTGGGTAGGCGGCTGAGGGGTGGCGGACCAGGGCACACCCAGCCTGGATCAGGAGCCCTGGGTTGGCCTCTGGATCAGACTGTGGCCAGCGATTATGAGCTCCCAGCTGACTGTGGCTTAAGGTGAGGCAACAGCTCATGAAAGGCTTCCTGCCCCAGAATCCTGCCTGCCACACTCATCCCGGGGGAAGCCCACCCCACACACCTCACACAGGCCCTGAGCCCCCGCTGCTCTGCTCCAGAGCCCCTGCTTCCACTCTCCAGCCCCATGGCTGCTTGCCCAGGTCTGCCTCCCCCTGCCCCGGCCATCCTTGTCTATGCTGACCGCCCGCTGGGCCACCATTCTCTGAGATTAGGCTTGACCCGTCTACAGACGCACCTGAGCAGAAGGGCGAGCATCCAGGCTCCACTCCTCAGCAGAGGGTCCGGCAGAGTCCAGCACCAGACACTGGCCAAACATTTAACCTGTTTCCCCATCCACAAACTAGCCACACCACCTACCTGCAAGAGGGATCAGAAGTCCTGATCTCACCAACTCATCAATATGCTGATCAATTGGTTTGCTGCTCATCAATATGCCTGCACCTAAGTAATCCTGACCAGAGACCTGTCAGCTCCCTTCCCAGCCCCATGCCCACCTCAACCATCAGAAAACACTCCTGCTGCTTTCTGGTTCTTATGACAGCCAGGTGGAAGAGGCCAACTCCATGTCTGACAAGATCCTCCCTTGGCCCCCAGGCTCCTGCATCCCACACCAAGCCATGTCAACGTGGAACTTGAGGCCCACAAATGGGGACATCCTGGAGCCATT